GAGTGAAACTCTGTCTCAAAAAAAAATCACTAGCATTCCTAAACACCAACAACAGCCAACCCAGGAGCCAAATCAGAAAGGCAATTCCATTCACAATTGCCAGAAAAAGAATAAGATATCTAAGAATATAGCTAATCAGGGAGGTAAAAGATCTCTACAATGAGAATTACAAAACACTGCTAAAGGAAATCAGAGAAGACACAAACAAATGGAAAAACTTCCCATGCTGATGGATGGGAAGAATCAATCTCATTAAAATGGCCCTACTGCCCAAAGCGATTTACAGATTAATGCTATTCTTATCAAACTATCAATGACACTCTTCACAGAACTAGAAAAACTATTTTAAAATTCATATGGAACCCAAAAAGATCCTGAAGAGCCAAAGCAATCCTAAGCAAAGAACAAAGCTGGATGCACCATGTTACCTGATGCTTCAAACTATACTACAGTGCTACAGTAACCAAAACACCATGGTACTTGTACAAAAACAGGAACATAGACCAGTGGAACAGAATAGAGGAAACAAGGCTGCAACTCCCATGACCATCTGATCTTCAACAAAGCTGACAAATATGCAATGGAGAAAATCCCTAGTCAATAAATGGTGCTGGGATAACTGGCTAGCCATATGCAGAAAATTGAAGGTTGACTCCTTCCTTACACCATATACAAAAATCAACTCAAGATGGATTAAAGACTAAATATAAAACCCAAAACTATAAAAATCCTGAGAGACAACCCAGGAAATACCATCCTGGACACAGGAACAGGCAAGATTTCATGACTCCAACTGTTGATGGGAGTGTAAATTAGTTCAACCATTGTGGAAGACAGTGTGGTGATTTCTCAGGATCTAGAACTAGAAATACCATTTGACCCAGCAATCCCATTACTGGGTATATACCCAAGGGATTATAAATCATTCTAATATAAAGACACATGCACACGTATGTTTATTGCAGCACTGTTCACAATAGCAAAGACTTGGAACCAACCCAAATGCCCATCAACAATAGACTGGATAAAAAAAATGTGGCACATATACACCATGGAATACTATGCAGCCATAAAAAAGGATAAGTTCATATCCTTTTCAGGGACATAGATGAATCTGGAAACCATCATTCTCAGCAAACTGACCCAAGAACAGAAAACCAAACACTGCATGTTCTCACTCATAAGTGGGGGTTGAACAATTAGAACACATGGACAAAAGAAGAAGAATATCACACACCAGGGCCTGTGGGAGGATGGGGGTTAGGGGAGGGATAGCAGGGGGTGGGAGGCTAGAGGAGGGATAGCATTAGGAGAAATACCTAATGTAGATTACAGGGTGATGGATGCAGCAAACCACCATGGCACATGTATACCTATGTAACAAACCTGCACATTCTGCACATGTACCCCAGAACTTAAAATATAATAATAAAATAAAATCCCAAGAATATCAGCACCCACAATAAAAAAACAAAAGCTAATCCAACTGTATTTAAATAAATAACCACGCTCAACTGTTGGGGTAAAACTAACATATACCTGGAATACACTGTTTTGACTATTTGTCTTAAAGTAAAAACATAAAGAACTGTAAACAAATATTGTATTCTACTAGGCTTGTGTTTTAGAGAAGTATGGGCTCACAATATTAAAAACTTTTTCTTTCATGACTGTAAAAATAAGTAAAGATTTGTGGATAGCAGCAGCCATATTTCTCATATTACTATCTTTAGAGAAGGGAGTTAATACAGAAAGGGGAAAGGCTGAAATGAATTCTGTAGTGTTGAGCTAGAATTAGAGGTGTGAATAGGAAAGGACCACAAACTGGGTGGCTTAAAATGAGAAATATATTGTATCACAAATCTGGAGTCTAGAAATCTGAAATCAGGGTGTCAGCAGGGTCATTTTCCCTCTGAAACCTACAGGGGAGAACCTTTCCTTGCCTCTTCGTAATTTCTGTTGAATTTCTGTACAGTAGCCCCGCTTATCCTCCGTTTTACTTCATGGTTTCAGTTACGTGCAATTTCAGACTGAAAATAGTAAATGAAAAATTCCAGAAATAAACAATTTCATAGGTTTTAAAATTATGTGTCCATTCTGAATAGCATACTAAAGTGTCACACCTAATCCATCCCATCTAGAACACAAATCATCCCGCTGCTCAGTTTATCCATGTGGTAGATGCTGCCCACTCCATTAGTCACTTGGTAGCCATCTCTGTCTCAGACACAATGTCTTGATACTGTAGGGCTTGTGATCAGACAGAATGTCTTGATACTGCAGTGCTTGTGTTCCAATAACCCTTATTTTACTTCATAACGGTCCCAAAGCACAAGAGTAGTAATGCTGGCAATTTAAATATGCCAAAGAAGTGCCATAAAGGGCTTCAAGTGAAAAGATGAAAGTTCTTGAGTTAACAACAACAACAACAAAAATTGTGTGCCTAGGTTGCTACGATCAGTGCAAGATCAAATCTTCTATCCATGAAATTATGAAGGAAAAAGAAATTCATTCTAGTTTTGCTGTTGTACCTTAAACTGCAAAGGTAAGATGGAAGAGGTGTTAAATTTATGGACAGAAGACATGAACAGAAATATGTTCTGCGTGGCCAGCCGCGGTGGCTCACACCTGTAACCCCAGCACTTTGGGAGGCCAAGGTGGGTGGATAACCTTAGGTCAGGAGTTCGAGATCAGCATGGCCAACACGGTGAAACCCTGTCTCTACTAAAAATATAAAAATTAGCCGGGCATTGTGGCACATGCCTGTAGCTCCAGCTACTCAGGAGGCTGACAGGAGAATTGCTTGCACCCAGAAGGCAGAGGTTGTAGTGAGTTAAAATTGAGTCATTGCACTCCAGCCTGGGAGACAGAGTATGCTCTGTCTCAAAAAGAAAAAAGAGAAAAAGAAAAAGAAACATGTTCTGACCAATGCAACATTTTACCAGAAAACACTGAGCCAGTACAAAGCATTTTACATGTCACATCTTCACAAAAAGATTAGTACAGTACAAGAGGACATTTTGAGAAAGACACATACACTACATTTATATAACTTTTATTACAGTACATTGTTATAATTGTTATATTCTTAATTATTAATCTCTTATTGTGCCTAATTTATAAAACTTTATCATGGTATGTATGTACAGGACCAAAACATATTATATACAGGGTGTAGTACTGTCCAAGATTTTAGGCATCTACTGGGGGTCTTGGAATGTATCCCCTGTGGATAAGGGAATACTGCTGTAATCTTTGGCACTCCTTGACTTACAGCTGCAGCAGTTCAATCTCTGTCTCTGTCATCACATGGCATTTAAGCCTGTGTTCCTGTGTTTTTTCTTGTTTTCTCACAAGGACACCAGTCGAATTGGATTAAAAACTAACCCTACTCCAGTATGACTTCATTTTAACTAATTGTATCTGCAAAAATCCTATTTCCAAGTATGTTCTCATTCTTAGGTACTGTGGGCTAGCACCTCAATATATCCTTTTTTCCACATTTAATAGATTTATTACCAAATGCTTTCAGGAAAATAATACAAATTTACATTATATTTTATGAAAAGACATTGGTAAATATGATAAAAATGACATTAATTGATGATATTGGTTGTAATCAATATGTCTTTGATTACCACTGAGGATAATCATTTCTCTCCTAGCATTCTGGCCTTCTTTTTTAAAATAAATTGTGGTTAAAAACCACATGATATTAAATTTAATGTCCCAACCATTCTAAAGTATACAGTTCAGTCAGTAAAACATATTCACATCATTGTGCAAGAGATCTCTAGAACATTTTCACCTTGAGAAACTGAAACTTTATATTCAGTAAGCACTGATTGTGTCCCCCACCCCCTCCACCCACCAGCCATTGGTAATCACATTTCTACTTTCTATTTCAATGATATTGACTAGTTTACACACTTCATATTAGTGGGATCATATAGTATTTGTCCTTTTATGATGGGCTATTTCACTTTGCATTAATGTATTTGAGGTTCATGCATGTAGCATTTGACAGGATTCCCTTGTTTTTTAAGACTATATAATATTTCATTTTATGCACATACCATGTTTTCTATATCCATTCATCTGTCATTGGATAGTTGGGTTGCCTCTATCTCTTAGCTTTGTGAACAATGTTGCAATGAATATGGGTGTGCAAATATCTGTTGGAGATCCTGCTTTTTAAAACATGTCTTCTTGAGAACAAATGTGGGGATGGGGTGCACAATTCAACTTACAGCAATTTGAAAGAAAAAGACAGCAATTTTACTGTGAAGAAATCTGGAAAACACTGTTTTAACCAAATGACAAAATTAACATTACTAATAATGGAGCAAATTGATACCATGTGCCTTTTGATATGGTGCACTAAAAGAACGTAACACCATTTCTGTGATATTCATACCAAAAATGCATATCCTGAATGTAAACAAGAAAAAATCTGACATTCTACTGAAAGACATTCTACAAAATAACTACTCTTAAAAACTATCAAGTTCATGGAGATAAAGAGGGAGGAACTCCAGATTAAAGGAACTTAAGGATACTTTATGAAAAAATGTAATGTGTGATCTTGAACTGAAACCTGGATCAGAAAAAGTACTTTATTGCGACAATTGGTAAAATTGGAATAAGGTCTTCAGGTTAGACAACAGAATTATATCAATGCTAAATTCCTAGTTTTGATAACTGAACTGAAATTATACAGTAAAATGTCTTTAAGAATTTTCACAAAGGGTTTTAGAGTTAAAGGGGAATCATGTCTGCAGCTTTTATATTCAGTTACTTTAGAAAAAAATTGTATAGACAGATAGATGGATGAACACATAAATAGAAATGATAGGCTGCACACAGTAGCTCATGCTTGTAATCCCAGCACTTTGGGAAGCCAAAGCGGGTGGATCACCTGAGGTCAGGAGCTCGAGACTAGCCTGACCAACATGGTAAAACCCTGCCTCTAAAAATTAGCCAGGCGTGGTGGCACATACCTGTAATCCCAGCTACTCAGGAGGCTGAGGCAAAAGAATCGCTTGAACTCAGTAGGCAGAGGTCGAGGTGAGCCAAGATTGTGCCATTGCACTCCAGCCTGGGCAACAAGGGAGAAACTCTGTCTCAAGGAAAAAAAAAAATAGAAATGATAAAAGAAGTGTGGTAAAATATTAATATTATGGTAAATCTGAGTATATGGTGGTGGTTGTACTATATTTAAAACATTTTACGAATCTAAAATTATCTCAAAATGAAAACCTTAAAAATAACGCTGTAACCAAAACAAGAAGAATGAATGCAAGGGCAAAAAGTTAATGCAAAGAGAATATAAGAGCAACTACTCAGGAATAGGATGGGGAAAAAAAAATCAATAGTTTTTACACAGCTGCTTCATCAGGTTGTAGCCAGACTGCCTCTTTAAGTGGGACCCTGATCCATTCCTTCTCACTGGGTGGGGCCTCCCTGCAGGGGCTTCAGCCACTCCAGCCAGGATTCTATGAGCAGAGTTCTGATCACTCCCTAGGACGAAGCTCCTAGGGGGAGGAGTGGTTACTATCTCTACAGTTTGGTTGACTCAGTCATTCTAGCCTGCCAGCTTTGAAGAGTCCAAATGGTCTGGACAAGGAAGGGCACCCCACAGTGTAGCACACCTGCTCTACCAAAAAGCAGACAGTTTCTTTAAGCAGGTCTCTGATTCTATTCCTCCTGACTGGGTAAAACCTCCCATCAGGGGTCTCCAGCTACCTCCAACAGGCACATATGGGCTAGCAACAGGTCAGTCCCCTTGGGACGGGACTTCCATATGAAGAAGCAGGCTGCCATCTTTGCTGCTTCCTGATACCATGATACTTCCAGGTACAGGAAAAGCTGAGGCAACCAGGGTCTGGAATAGACCCCCAGCAAACAGCAGCAGCTCTGTGGAACAGTGGCCTGACTGTTAAAAGAAAAACAAACAGGCCAGGCGCGGTGGCTCAAGCCTATAATCCCAGCTCTTTGGGAGGCCGAGGCGGGGGATCTCGAGGTCAAGAGATCGGGACCATCCTGGCCAACATGGTGAAACCCCGTCTCTACTAAAAATACAAAAATTAGCTAGGGGTGGTGGCATGTGCCTGTAATCCCAGCTACTCAGGAGGCTGAGGCAGGAGAATTGTTTGAACCCGGGAGGCAGAGGTTGCAGTAAGCTGAGATTGTGCCACTGCACTCCAGCCTGGTGCCTGGCGACAGAGTGAGACTCTCAAAAAAAAAGAGAAATAAAGAAAAACAAACAGAAAAATACCCACAAAAACTCCATTCAAAGGTCAGGTACCTCAAAAAATTGAAGGTAGATAAACCCACAAAGATGAGAAAGAATCAACACAAAAATGCTAAAAACTCAAAAAGCTGGAGGGCCTCTTCTCCTCCAAATGACCGCAGCACTCTCCAGCAAGGACACAGAAATGGGCTGAGGTGGAGATGGCTGAATTGACAGAAGTAGGCTTCAGAAGTTGGGTAATAAATTTCACTGAGCTAAAGGAACATACTGTAACCAAATAGAAAGAAGCTAAGAATCATCACAAAACAATACAGGAGCCGACAGCCAGAATAGCCAGATTAGAGAGGAACATACCAACCCAATGGAGCTAAAAAACACACACAGAGAACTTCATAATATAATCACACAAGTATCAATAGTATAGACCAAATGGAGAAAAGAATCTCAGAGTTTGAAGACTATCTTTCTCTAATAAGACAGGAAGAAAAGAATAGAGAAAAAAAAATTAAAAGGAATGAATAAAACCTTTAAGAAAACGGAATTATGTAGACACTGAACCTACAATTGACTGAAGTACCTGAAAGAGACAGGAAGAATGGAACCAAATAGGAAAACATACTTCAGTATATCATCTAGGAGAACCTCCCCAACCTCGCAAGACAGGCCAACATTCACATTTAGGAAATCTAGAGAACCCCAGTAAAATACTCCATGAGAAGATCAACCCCAAGATATAAAATCATCAGATTCTCCAAGGTCGAAATGAAAGAAAAAATGTTAAGGGCATTCCATGGATTTCATGGATACTAACTTCATTAGACAAAAGCCACCCCAGCCTGGATGTTTTTGAAAGAATTACTTCTCTATTTTGGCCTCCTGCTACGGGACACCACTTTTATGTTTCCTAGAAGCCCTCTAGAAAAATTAAATAATTAGCTCGGCATGGTGGCATGTGCCTGTGTTCCCAGCTACCTGGGAGACTGAGGTGGGAGGATCACTTAAGCCTGGGAAGTCAAGACTGCAGTGAGCTGTGGTTGCACTATTGCTTTCCAGCCTGGGTGAAACAGTGAGACCCTGTATGAAAAAAAAAAAAAAAAAAGAGGAGAAATTAAGATATTTCCAGATAAAGAAAAGCTGAAGGATTTTCTTACTATTAGTCCTGTCCTACAAGAAATGCTCGAGAGAGTACTTTAGGGTGAAATGAAAGGACACTCAACAGTAACTCAAAGCCACATAAAGAAAGAAAGATCTCCAGTAAAGGTAAACACATCAGCAAATACAAAAGCTTCTACTATTGTAATTTTGCTTCATAGCTTCACTTTTTATTTTCTACATGATTTGAAAGACAAATGTGGGCTGAATGCAGTGGCTCATGCCTATAATCCCAGCACTTTGGGAAGCCAAGGTGGTTGGATCACCTGAGGTCAGGAATTCAAGATCAGTCTGGCCAACATGGTGAAACCTTGTCTCCACTAAAAATACAAAAATTAGCCAGGCATGGTGGTGCATATCTATAGTCCCAGCTACTCAGGAGGCTGAGGCAAGAGAATTGCTTGAACTTGGAAGGCAGTTGTTGGCAGTGAGCTGAGACTGTGCCACTGCACTCCAGCCTGGGTGACAGGGAGACTCCATCTCAAAAAAAAAAAAAAAAAAAAGGACAAATGTATAAAACAACATAAATCTACATTATTGGACACAATGCATAAATATGTAATTTGTGACATCAATAACATAAAAGGGGATAGAGTTGTATAGAAGCAGAGATTTCATATCCTGTTGCAGTTATCAATTCAAATTTAGGATGTTAAATATGAGCCCCATAGTAACCACAAAGAAAGTATCTACAGAATGCACAGAAAAAGAAGTGAGAAGGGAATCACAACCTTTCACTACAAAAGAATCAACTAAACACGAAAAGAGGCAGTAGTGGAGGAAAACAGGGGACAACAAAGTAATAAGACAGGGTAAAAAAGAAAATTAATAAAATGGCAGAAGTAAATCCTTTCTTGTCAGTAAATAGATTAAAGTTTCAAATCAAAAGTGAGACTTGTAGAACGAAGTTTTTTAAATGATGCAACTATATGTTGTCTACAAGAGACACACTTCATGCCTGGCATAGTGGCTCACACCTGTAATCCTAGTACTTTGAGAGACTGAGGTGGGAGGACCACTTGAGGCCAGGAGTTTGAGACCAGTCTGGACAACACAGAAAGACTCCCATCTATATAAAGATTTTAAAAACTAGCCAAGTGTGAAGGTGCCAGCCTGTAGTAGCTACTTGAGAGGCTGAGATGGGAGGATTATTTGAGCCTAGGAGGTTGAGGCTGCAGTGAGTCAAAACTGCATCACTGCTCTCCAGCTTGGCTGACAGAGTGAGACACCGTCTTCTTAAAAACATAAATTATACACAGATTTCTGAAATTTTTTTCACTTAGCAATATTCCTTGAGATTTTTCCCTATTAATAAATTATCTCGCCATTCTTTGTTACCACTACAAGGTGTTATATAGTATGAACACCACATCATCAATCCCTTATTGACAATGTTAGTTCCAATTCCATTCCCTTATTAATGATGTTAGTTCCAATTACAATTATCAATTGTACAATCAGTTACAAGTAATACTGCAGTGAATGACCTTAATTATACACCCTTTTCCACCAATATGAATGTTAGTTACCAGATGTGGTACATGTATTTTTTATTTTGATAAGTACTCTCCTCCATAGGGACCCTAGGAATTTATATTCCCACAGAAATGCATCTGTGCTGTCCTGCCATAACCTTCACTCAGTAGAGTGTGTTATCAACTTGCATCTTGTTATGTATTTAAAAGGCATGAATATTTCCCTTTCTGTGAATAGTTGCTTATACTGCTTCCCCTGTCTTAGTCCATTTGGTCTGCTATAATATATAACATAGACTGGGTAGCTTATAAACAACAGAAATTTATTTTTCACAGTATAGAAGGCTAGGAAGTCCAAGATCAAAGTGCTGGTAGATTTGATGTCTCGAGAGGGTCCATTTCCTGATTCCTAGATGGCCATTTACTGTGTCCTCACATGGTGGAAGAGGCAAGGAAACTCCCTGGGGATTCTTTAATAATGGCAATAATCCCTATCATGAGGGTTTGCCCTCATGACCTAATCACCTCCCAAAGGCCTCACCTCCAAATACCATCACATTGGCGATTAGGTTTCAACATATTAATTCATACACATTCAGACCTCAACACTCACTTCACTTATCTGTTGTTTGTTCTTTTCTCATCAACACCTAGCAAGTCTTTATATTTTGAGGAGATTATCCCTTTGTCTATAAGATACAAATACTTTTTTTCTCAGTCTACCTTTAATTTATGGTTTTTGCTTTGCAAAAAATTTTTTCTAAGATAGAAAATTTTGTCAATCTTTTATGACTTCTGGATTTTGAATAGTTTTTGAATGAAGGGTACTATATCATTCCAAAGCAATACAGGATATCACTCGTATTTTTTCTATACTTCTATGATGTGTGGTAGGGATCAAACATAATTTTGTTTAAAATGACAACCTTCTTGCCAGTACTATTCATTAAACCAGAATATTTTTTTGTAACTGGCTTACTTCCTATAACATACACTAAATTCACAGACATGTATGGGACAATTTGTGTACTTTTTACTCTGCATCACTAGCTATTTATGCATCAGCTCCACACGGTTTTAATTAGAAAGGCTTTCTATTGTATTATGTCATACAATGTTATAAAATATACATTTTTATTTCTGGTGAAAGTACCCTCCTGTACTGCTCTTCTTTAAAACAGAGGTTTTCTTGCAATTCTTGATCTTCCAAATGTAATTCAGAATCGGCTTGTCTATTTC